AAAGAGCGACTCACTTAGAGCAGGAATTATACCAAATAGTAAAAAAAAAAATGTATAAACATTTTGCAGATAAAAAAATATTTTTCATCTCTCAATATGCTCTAATCAGAATTCCTAAAGTGGTTTTAGTTTAAGGTTAATCGATGTTTAATCGATTGTTCAATAAAATAATTAACAGATAAATCGATTTGCAAAATAATCGTTTGTTGCAGCCCTACTTCTCACGAAAATATGTTTTTATAGATAAAATATTCAGACCGTCATATATTGTTCAGCTGAAATCATGGTCAAACAGATAACTCTGCACATATATGGTGTCATGATTTTACTAATAATCAGACCCAAATGCTGAAGACCAAACAGGGAGACCAGGAGAAAAGGTTTGACAGGTTTTATTGAAGAGATAATGCAGAGAGAAGTGTTGCACTGAACTCTGCTCATCCGGAACTGTAAAGTGAGGGGAAGACACAGCGATTAGTTCAGGCTCTGTGGGAAATTTGACTCGTGAACTTGGAGAAGAGGATCTGGTTGCTGACTCAGAGAACCAGATCCAGAGAAGTTGTTGAATCTTTGACTCCAGTCTGTATGCTGTAGTTCCAGTGTTTGTCTGATTCGGTGGAAGGTGGAACAGGGTTTACCCAGAATGCGTTTTTTTGTAGGTGAACGGAGAAGCTGACTGCCACTCAGATTTCCTGCGGTACTTGAACGGGTCGTAGTGGAGATGAATCCCTTTCTCAGTGTGAAGCTCAAATGATCTCTTGGGGAAAGTGGATCCAAACCTCCTGTTTGTAACCCCAGCTCAGTTTGAAGCTCAGTTGATCCTTCCAGGGAGAGAAGGTCCGAAAAATCCAGTTTGCAGGATGACTTCCTGCCAAGAGGCAAAGACAAAAACAATGTTAAAACTCAGGTTGACAAGAACTCAGTTTGACTCAGCAAAACTTGGCTAGAGTACCCTATACTGGCAAACACTCTGGCGTCGAGGTAGTGGCAGTCAGCAGCTTAAGAACGCTCCGTTAACGAGGAAACCATCCGCAGGTGTGTGAGGAGGCGGACCAGAACCAGGCGCCTCCTGGTGGAGGAATGGAGACAAACACAGAATACAAACACACAGACAGGAGTCCTGAATAAAAACACCGTAACACAACAGTTCAAGACATTCGAGTTTAGTTACAAAAACCATTTAACTTGAAGTCAAACATATAAAAAAAAAAACTCTTGACTAAATCAGTGAAACTCAAATTTAAAAAGCTGCTATGTACATTAAGAAACAAGTAGTTGAAAACAATAATCAGTAAAAGGATGCAATTTTATCACAGTGTGGCATTGATTTTATCTAACTAGGTTTATTTGGAATGCGGTCAAATTAGATTTTAAACTAATTGAGAGCAACTGGATTATGTTTAAACCAGTTCAAAAAGCAACACAAATAGATCCATAAAAATGTTTTTGGTAAAAGTAATTTGCTTAATCAGAAATCAAAAACCTTTATTTGTTTGATTCTTAACCTTACTATAAAGGAGAAGATTAGTCAGGAAGGAATAATCAATGGATCATTATTTATACCTAAAATGAATACGTTTGCGGTGATTTAATGAATTTAGTGTTAATCAGTTAAAAAAAAAAAAATTTGTTTTGATCACTCAGTCTGGGAGCGGCCATTTTTGCCCAAATATAGTAGCCCCTCCCTCCTGCCATCTTCCAGCAGTGACGTCACGGTGCGGTAAGCCTAGCGCCATTCTCCCCGCTTTACAAGCTAAATCAATGGGAACTACTAGACACATCTGCAATCAACAACAATAATTGAAGATTTCCAGAGGACTTCACCATTGAAATTCACCAGAGCTATAGTGAAACTGACAATGCCCACGTGCATGGCAGCTGGATGCTGGAATACATCGGGTAAAAGAGAAAAAAAAGAGTTATTCCACCTTTCTGATTCCTGATCCTCCACGGACGGGTTGGTCGTTGGATCGCCAACTTGAAGAGGGAGGATTTGCCATCGAACTTCTGGCCAGAGAAAAAACCCGTAATATGTAGCCAACATTTGGAAGAAGAATGTTTTCAAGATGACTTGGATAATAGCGCGTTGTGACAAACACCAGATACAGCACTGGGACTTGATCAACAGCCGATACCGCACCGTGACGTCACAAACCAGTAGGTGGCAGTAGTGTTCTTTGACAAACATGGATGCCTCCAGTAAAACACATTCACATGAAAATTACTCTGAATTAAAAAGCTTATCATTTATTGAACAGTTTGTTATAATTTCATCGTTCATCGGATAGAAAACTAATTGTTTGCACTTTGCCATAAACAAGGGAATCAACAAACATCTAAAGCAATTTTGGGGGAAAAAAGACTCGTACCCTGAACACACCTCTCAGATGCAGCGTGTTGGCGGTAGCTTCATGGTGTGTGGATAATTTTCTGATGGATGGATGAAGTTTAAGACAGGGCAACCATCAGTGGGTTTGAGAGGCAGAGGCTTCATTTTTAATAATCTGTTGATCCTTTAATCCTCATTTGTTTCCGTATTACGTACCTCCATCTCATAAAAGCACTAAAATGTGGTTGTCAGGAGACAAAATTCTGAAAAGTTTCATTGATATGTTTTTTTTTTTTGTAAGGTACTCTGAGCAAGTTTTTATCCCCATGAAGAATTAAATATCTAAATGTTTCTGCTTACAGACTGTACTCCTGTACTCCTTCCTGTATGAAACAGATGTTTCATGTCAGTCCTTGAGGCACATGGTGTTTGTGTAGATAACAGTGTCTTATATTGAGTAAAGGTTGCATCCCGGGTGAATGAGCCAGAGGAATACTTCACTCTCAGGAAAGATTGTTTTGCTTTGAATTGGGTTGTAATTTTCAGACCTTTGAACATTTTCTATGTCCGCTTAGTGAGTCCACGTTGGGTTTCATGACTGGAAGGTAAAGCCTGAACTGTGAGTGCACAAATGGAATCAGGTCATTCTGTAGCCGCCTAGTATATTTCACATTTCATCACATTAGTGAATTTTATTGGGATTTAATGCCACGGAGCAACACAGAATTAAAGGTTATTCTGAAACAGAAAAATTAAATAAAATTCAAACAAAATCTAACAAGTCCAATTCAATTCAACATTGTTTATTTCTATATCGCCATTCCACAACACTGCAGAGAGATTTCAGTCAGATCATTTGGTCAGATTAAAGGTCCAGATGTTTCTATCTAAGTATAATAAGCTGATTGCATCGAGTCATTGCCTTTGCAGGATTCTCTCATCCTGGATGAGCAGGTAAAGACAGTTTACACCCGTTTGCGATATATTGTTGACTCTCTAGCAATCCCTCACACTGAGCATGCATGTAGCGACAGTAGAGACAAAACCTCCCTATGAACAGTGGGAAACCTCCAGCAGAACCAGGTTCATTGTGAGCGGCCATCTGCAAAGGCTGACTGAGGTTCAAGAAGACAGAAACAGAGAAAAAGAACTCAGAAGCACTATATTATAAAAGCTAACGGTAAATTAGCTCCACACGACTCTGGCTGGGAAAGAAACAGTTAAGCAGACGAGCTCTCAGACTGTTCTCATGTTAAAGGGATGAAAGAGCAAACATCCAGTTATATCCCTTTCCCACTGGCCGGAAAAATTGTTTAAACCCGGGAACAATGTGCTTTTAGCGGCAGTGGGAACAGCTCACTGACTGGTGTTTACCCGGGTCAAACGACTCGCCAAGCGACCCACGTTAAATCGCTTTGACTCTGATTGCCATGCTGTGGGATCACCACAGCCGGGTTAACTAGCTAATTTACGTGATACCATTGAACGCAACGTGCGGACATCAACACAGCGTGCCAGTCACTTCTGATCTAAAAAGCAGAAACAACTCTGTTTATATTCATGGGGTAGCTCTGGTGAGAGGGATTCAGGCAGATAATAGAGCACACTGACTACGCCCTGGCTTTCTGACATGTTGCTCTCCATTGTTTACTTTCCTGATTACTGTCACACTGGTAACATCATCAACACTAACACAGCATGATGGTGTAACCATATGTGAAACCGTGGAGGCCAAGCAGCTGCCAGGGTGGGGTTAGACCAGCTGTTTTAGCCAATGGGAAAGGAGCCAAATGCAGATTTTTGGCAGATTGACCCATGTTTGAAAAGCAATGGTTTACCTGGTATTTTCAGTAGGAAAAAGGCTTAAGTGACAGTCAAATCTGAGCTCATCGCTAAGTCTTGGAAAGAAATAGGACTAAACACTGAAAAACAGGAATATTTGTCTATATGGAAGCCAAACGAGTAGAAGAGGAACATAAAGCTCACTAGGGTGAAACGCCCTGCCTTGGCAATTTGTGCAATTTTGTGCTGAAGCCCTAAAAAGAAAAGGAGACGACGTATTTGGACAGACATGGCTGAGCAAACGTGGCTACTACAGTCTGTCAATTTTACAGAAAGAACTCCTTTTCACTCATTGCACCCCCGCCATGATTCTGCTTTCATCTGAGAGGAAGAAGAAGAAGAATCCTTGGTTGCGTACTGAGACATTTGCCCACGACCACCTTACGACGGCCGACTGAAAATCAAACATGTTTAATTGTCTCCCGACCTTACGATTCCTGATGAGGAGGTGGTTGTTAGGCTGATATCCCCTCCTAACCTCCTGTACACTACATGATACAACATCAGGCTGAAAGTTGGCGCAATCGAAAAATTCTCGCATTACTGGAGAATCGGCAAAAAATCGTACCCTTGTATGCAGGCTTAACAGATACCACAGAATGTGAGAATAAAGAAAGAAGGAAGAAGAAGGAAGTAAAGGAGTCAATTATTCTTTAAGGAATATAATGTGTTTATTTATATTAAATGCATCATGTTGATGTTTTGTTGCTGCAGCTTGTAAAAACACCAAATAAGTCTTTTATCTAAATTAATTAACCTCGTAGCTTTCAGATGAAAACTGTAAATCAGTGATGGTGTTGTGCTAAAGCCATTGTTTTTGCTTCCACAGGTACATGGCCATTATTCACCCCCTGCAGCAGCGTATGTCGTCCACAGAGACCAAGGTGGTGGTGGCTGTGATCTGGGTTCTGGCTCTACTCCTGGCCTTTCCTCAGTACTACTATTCTACCACCTACCAGATGCCTGACCGGGTGGTGTGCTACATCGCGTGGCCTGAGAATACCACGTTTGACTTCAAAAAGCTGTGAGTTTCTCTGTGTTGGAGCTTTTCAACTAGTCAGTGAGTGTTAATAACTTTTTCTTTTGGCATCTGGGTTGGGGGGATATTTGTATTCAGGAGAAAAAGTCTGAAAGGTTGTGCTTTGTGGTTGATAAACGGAGGCATCTCCCAGCTGTTTTATGTTTTTCCCTAAACTGGAAGAGAAGAAACTGACTGAAGCTGCAGCATTTATTAGTATTTCATTATAATTCTGCTTCTGCAGCTTTGAAGATGCTCAACATTTCCTGAATGGTTTAAAGAAGTTCTTTACAGAGCAAAAAAAAGGCAGGAACCCAAGAGACAGAAAGGCAGACATTTGTGAATTAAATGGTTAATAAGAGGAAAAACGAGCTGTGTTTGAATGAGAGTAAATCTACAGTAAGACTCATCTTTTAATGCTAATCGCTGGGTTGTCAGTTTCATTTTGCCTCGCTTTTGATTGATGTAATTTTAGCAATATTTCTAAAATTCTAAGGCTTGAAGATGTTCAGTTTTGACAGTTTTCCAATAAAATATAATTTCATATAAAAAGCTCAGCAGGAATTTGTCATGGCTTACATCAGCTGTTTTGCACAAACAAAAGGCTTTTGATAACGGCGCTATTGATTCCTGGTTCCCTAAAAGCCAATATTCACCTTTGCAATTTTCCTTAATTGAATATAAGAGAAAAAGTCGGTTTAATTACCCCTTTGAGAAACAAAATACAGGCCTTACTTCCTTTAATCTGCCGCTTTGAGTCACAACAGATTTAGATAAAAGTGCCAGAGGGCTGCTTGGAATACTAACTAACCAGAGTTCTACTCTAACACCTCAAGCATGTTTTGTTTTTTTCTGACTCAAAGTCATGCAGGGTCAAACTGTCACCTCTTATGAATATTTCAGCTCATTTCCACCTTCTTTCCTGTTTGCTGTTTATTGGTTAAATTCAGATCTTCTGCCATTCTGAGCTATTATCACTTATAAAGACTGGATAAATGAAATGATTAATCATTAACAGGAGTTTAGAGACTAAAATATGCCTTTAGCTGACAGAGCGACCCATTTAAAGCAGTAATTATACCGGTGCATTTTAGGTGTCAAAGTGAGGCGACAGTGGCGTTGGGTGTATGAGTAGGAGCGCTGAAATCGAAGGATTGACGGTACAAGCCCCGGCTCCGGCTTTCAGTGTCGTTGTATCCTTGGGCAAGACACTTCACCTGCATTGTCTACTGATGGTGGTCAGAGGCCCGGTGGCGCCAGTGTACGGCAGCCCCGCTTCTGTCTGTGACATATATATATATATATATATATATATATATATATATATATATATATATATATATATATATATATATATATATATATATATATATATATATATATATATATATATATATATATATATATATATATATATTAGTGCTGTCAATCGATTAATTTTTTTTCGATTAATCGCATCAATGCCTGAGTTAACTCGCGATTAATCGCATTTTAATCGCAAATTTTTTTTCTGATTGAAAATCATTTAAATACTCTCGATGACATACAAAAAATACATACAGGCTAGGTTTGTGCCAATGTTCTTTTTTTAAAATGAAAACAGGTCACAGACACTGATTTATGCCATAGAAACATATGGCAAGAAGATGGGGAGGCATGTAGCAAAAAATAACAAATATGTAGCCAAAAAAAAGGCCCTGAAAACAGGCTGATGTAAAAGACAGTCTTTACAGTTAATACAGTCTTTTGAACAAAGACAAGCATTTTACCCTACTGCTATAAAATGCAGTACAGTTAACATTAGATGTTAATTAACCAAGATAATAATGAACAATTTTCAATCAATACATCAAAATCAATAGACCGACATCACTAGATGGAGTCTATGCTCTAGAAAGTTACTTTTCAGCCTCTTAACAAAAATGAGAACACACACACCCACCCACCCACACACACACACACACACACCCACCCACCCACACACACACACACCCACCCACACACACACACACACACCCACACACACACACACACACCCACACACACACACACACACACACCCACCCACACACACACACACACACCCACACACACACACACACGCGCGATACCGACCTGTTGCGTACACAGACGGCAAGAGTGCCGTAGCAGATTCCATTTCACCTCAGTAATCTGTTTTCTCAGCGTATTTCAGGTTGCTACTAGTTACCAGACACTCAACTTGTTTGTTGGTGGTGGGGCTTAAAGAAAAGGCACTAGCGCTACCCAGTGTATGAGCGTCTTTTTCCCTTGAGGAGCTCCGCTTTCGAAGCCTATGAGAAATGCATAGACTGGGGGAAAATAGCCCCGCCTTCTCGCAGGCTGCAGCGGGATGTACTTGGAAAATTGTACCATAAAACCACATAGCGTTAATCTCACGTTAAAAAAATTATCGCCGTTAAAATGGCCTCGCGTTAACGCGATAATAACGCTATAATTTTGACAGCACTAATATATATATATATATATATATATATATATATATATATATATATATATATATATATATACCGTAAATCCTCTAATATAGGACCAGGCCTTTATTTCACTCAGGTACATCTTGGTCCAGGCTATTATTGAAAAGAGGCCAGAATTAGAGGCAGGTCTTTATTTGTATTTGATCAAAACAGACTACCAGTGGAATGAATAAAAACTAGGTTAAAATTAGGGATGCACGATATTGGGATTTTGGCCGATATCCGATATACCGATATTTTAAAACTCATGTAGCCGATAACCGATATCGATTCCGATGTTAAAGCTGGACAAAATAAGTAGTCATTGAAAATAGCAGTTTTGTTATCCATTTCTGACACTTTGAAAAATAATATACTCAAATATATTTTCATATGCTGATTTCAAATAGATTTTTAAAAACGCTTTCAAAATCTGGTGAAATTTCATCGTTCTGTTACAAACTCTCGTGATATTTTGCAAATTCTTGTGAGATTTTGTTAGTAAAATAGATCGATACCGCGTCAATATATCAACATATAAAAATATGGCAAAATTTCGTGAATTTTCGGGGGATTTCGTAGCATAACGATGACATATAGCAATATTTCATTAGTAAAAGAGATTGATATGGTGTTTTTAAATGGTAATACCGTAAATTCTCTAATATTGGCCTGTATTCCAATAGCGGCCGGGTCTCTAATAATGGCCGGTCTCGCTGTCAGAGGAGGTAAATAATGGCCGGTCTCTAATACAGGCCGGGGCTATAAACGTTTTTTCTGGGCATACCTCAACATTATACTTGTGGTAGTAAGTAACATACAAGTACCACAGCCCTGCGCAGCTGGACGACAAGCCCTGCTGCTGCCCGTCTGCGCGAGGAAGAGAACAGACACGCAGCAGAACAGGAGGAGCAGCGCGAGTGATGAGGAGAATAAAGGGAGAGATGAAGAGGAGGAGGAAACTGAGGAGGAGAATTAAACAGAATTGGAGGATTTTTATTTTTTTTTTTTACTTCAAACCAAGCGAGACATGGTAACTGTACTTTTTCAATAAATGAACCTAGTGTTTTATAGGTTCAAATAGACACAAAATCTCATTTTTATTCATTCCACTGGTAGTCTGTTTTGCTCAAATAGCAATAGAGGCCTGTCTCTAATACTGGCCTGTATCCAATAAAGGCCTGGACCGCGATGCACTTGAGTGAAATAAAGGCCCGGGCCTATATTAGAGAATTTACGGTATATCAGCATATGAAGATATTGGGATATTTTAATGTATAAATTTTTTTCCCCTCGTCTTTAGAAGTTTTTAAGTCTGTAAAAAATAAGTTTTTGAGGAAGAAGATGAAGTAGTAACCGATAGGGGGCCGATTATATCGTGCATCCCTAGTTAAAATACTAGGTTCATTTATTGAAAAAGTACAGTTATCATAACGGTATACAGAACATTATTCAGACATCTACCCGGAAGCTGCAATATTTCTGCACGGCAATATAAAAAAACAAAAAAAAAACAGAATTGAATCTTGGCCAAACTGACTTGCGAAACAACGTTTTAATGGAAACTGTCACAGCAAATTTTTATTTAAGGCAGGCTAAGTGGAAGCAGGCTACCTGTATCATATATTTCAAGGGAAATTCAGAACAATGAAGGCCAAAGAAATTCTGTCCTTTTAACGCTGCCTGGTTACCACCAGACCTTCCGGTAAATTATAATAATCGCTTTGTATCGATGCATCAATCCAACAGCCGACGATCCGATACATCGACACGTCTGCGAGAGTATCGATTCATGTTTTTTTTTTCTCCGGTCTATTTCTATCAACTTGCTAATTAATTCTGACTCCCATGCTGTGGTGACGCTAAACCTATTTTGCCCTCCTACCTCGCTCCCTTTAGCCACTACCCTCTTTCCGCATGCACACACAGTTGCGTAAACAGTAGGCAAGACATACATGGCGGAGATAGCGGAGGTGAAAGAAGAGGTATGCAAGACAGACGTGGTGGAGGAAAAAGATGATGTATTCTTGAGTATAGAAATAAACCAATAGTTGGGTCAGGAAATCGATACTGACTCGAATCTCCATGATGGGTGTGATTTATACTCCTACCGGTAATCACATGTGTCTTTCAGATCGGAATGATTGTGTAAGGCCACTACGATCTCTGTGTAAAGATGGGATTTCCCATGCTAATGGCTTGGATTCGTTAGCAAACATTGCCCCCCTGTGGTACTTGTATGTTACTATCAGAAGTTGTTGAGGACTGCCCAGAAACATCGTTGGTTCTATTTATAGCCCCGGCCTGTATATGAGTTCGGCCATTATTTACCTCCGCTGACAGTGAAAGCGGCTATTATTAGAGACCCGGCCGCTAATGGAATACAGGCCAATATTAGAGGATTTACAATATATATATATATATATATAGTATAAATATTAGGGGTGTAAATCACACCCATCATGGCGATTCGATTCAGTATCGATTTCCTGACCCAACGATTCGATTATT